ACTACGACTACGACTACGACTACGACTACGACTACGACTACGACTACGACTACGACTACGACTACGACGGCTACTACTACTACTACTACTACTACTACTACTACTACTACTACTACTACTAGTACTACTACTACTACTACTACTACTACTACTACTACTACTACTACTGCTACTACTACTACTACTGCTACTACTACTACTACTACTACTACTACTACTATGCCCCCATGCGCACCCCCCGTGGTGTGGAACAAATGCAACGCCTGCCACTCCCAGCGACCCTGGGACGGGTAGAGACCGCGGTGATTGACCACCCCCTGCGCACCTCTTTGGCGTAGAGAAAGTGCCGCGCCTGCCACGCCCCGCGATCCTGGGATGTATAGAAACCGCGGTGAGGGACCACACCCTGCACACCCCCTGTGGTGTGGAGAGAATACCACGCCTGCCGCGCCCCGCGACCCTGGGACGGATAGACACCGCGGTGAGGGACCACCCCCTACGTACCCCCAGTGGTGTGGAGAAAATGCCTCGCTTGCCACGCCCCGCGACATTGGGACGGATAGAGGCCGCGGTGAGGGACCACCCCGTGCCCACCTCTTGTGGTGTGGAGAGAGTGCCACGCTTGCCACGGCCCGCGACCCTGGAACGGATAGAGACAGCAGTAAGAGCACCCCCTGCGCACCTCCTGTGGCGTAGAGAAAGTGCCACGCCTGCCACGCCCCGCGACCCTGGGACGGATAGAGACCGCGGTGAGGGACCACCTCCTGCGCACCCCTTGTGGTGTGGAGAAAGGGCCACGCTTGCCACGCCCCGCGACCCTGGGACGGATAAAGGCCGCGGTGAGGGACCACCCCCTACGCACCCCCTGCGGTGTGGAGAAAGTGCCACGCCTGCCACGCCCCGCGACCCTGGGACGGATACAGACCGCGGTGAGGGACCATCCCCTGCGCAAGCTTTATGATGTGGAGAGAGTGCCACGCCTGCCACGGCCCGCGACCCTGGGACGGATAGAGACCGCGGTGTGGGACCACCCCCTTACGCACCCCCTGTTGCGTAAAGGAGTGCTGCGCCTGCCACGGCCCGCGACCTTGGGACGGATAGAGACCGCGGTGATGGACCACCCCCTGCGCACCCCATGTGGTGTGGAGAGAGTGCCGCGCCTGCCACGCTTCGCGACCCTGGGACGGATGGAAACCGCCGTGAGGGACCACGCACCCCCTGTGGTGTCGAGAAAGTGCCACGCCTGCCACGCCCCGCGACCCTGGGACGGATCGAGACCGAGGTGAGGGGCCACCCTGTGCGCACCCCCGTGTGGTGTGGAGAACGTGCCACGCCTGCCACGCCCCGCGACCCTGGGACGGATACAGACCGCGGTGAGGGACCACACCCTGCGCACCTTGTGTAGCGTAGTGACAGTGCCGCGCCTGCCACGCTTCGCGACCCTGGGACGGATAGAAACCGCGGTGAAAACTACCCCTTGCGCACCCTTTGTGGTGTGGAGGAAGTGCCACGCCTGCCGCGCCCCGCGGCTCTTGGACGGATAGAGGCCGCGGTGAGGGACCACGCCCTGTGCACACCGTGGTGTGGAGAAAGTGCCACGCCTGCCACGCCCCGCGACCTTGGGAGGGATATGGACAGCGGTGAGGGACCACCCCCTGCGCACCCCCTGTGGTGTGGCGAGAGTGCCACGCCTGCCACGGCCCGCGATCCTGGGACGGATAGAGGCAGTGGTGAGGGACCACCCCTGCGCACCCCCTGCGGTGTGGAGAAAGTGCCACGCCCGCCACGCCCCGCGACCCTGGGACGGATGGAAACCGCCGTGAGGGACCACCCCCTACGCACCCCCTGTGGTGTGGAGAAAGTGCCACGCCTGCCACGGCCCGCGACCCTGGGACGGATAGAGACCGCGTTGAAGGACCACCCCGTGCGCACCCCCTGTGGTGTGGAGAAAGTGCCACGCCTGCCACGCCCCACCACCCTGGGACGGATAGAGACCGCAGTGAGGGACCACCCCTTGCGCTCCCCGTCCGGTGTCGAGAAAATGCCGCGCTTGCCACGCCTTGCGAATATTGCGCGCGTGTGCTGCGTGATGTGCGTCTCATGTGTATGGTGCGTGTGCGGCTGTATCTGGACGTGTATCCCATGTGGGTGCCCAGTATGTGTCGCGTGTATGATGCGTGCGCGGCTGTATCAGGGCTTGTGTCTCACGTGGGTGCCCAGTATGTGGCGCATACGTCGTGGGTGTGTGACGCAGTGAACACGCCAGGCGTGCACTGGCGTTGTTAGCGTGTGTGTGTGTGTGTGTGTGTGTGTGTGTATGTGTGTGTGTGTGTGTTTGTGTTTGTGCTTGTGTGTGTGTGTGTGTGTGTGTGTGTGTGTGTGCGAGTGTGTGCATGCGTGCCGCTGCGTGTAGACGCGCGTCTCATGCGCGCGCTGTGCATGTGTTGCGCGTGGACGAGGCGAGAGAGGAAGAGGAGGTGAGGAGGGAGGAGAGAGGGAGGTGAGTGTGGGAGTGAGACGCGGGTGGGACGCGGGAGGGAAGAAAACCAGAAACCCACCAAACATGTGGGGAATAAAAACCAAATGGTTTCGCAACACGGATTTTCAAGAAAAGCTTGCGCACGTGGTATTGCGAATTATTCTCAAGAAAACCATGGATGTTCATAATTTTGAGAAAGCGCTGCCAAACAGGCTTCGCGCCCGCATATGTCGAAATCGTCCGAACCTCCTCGCGCGCGTGCCGTCGCGAGAATCCATTTGCAACATATTGGACGATGTGCGCGCGCGCGTCGTCGCGCGCGCATGCTGGAATCCTTCAAAAACCTTCGGTGTCGAAAGGATTTCAAAACTGAGTTTCCCGAAACCATTTAAAAAACAATCGGTTTCGCAACATCAGTTTTCAAAAAAACTTGCGCGCGCGCTCGTGCGAATTCTTAAGACAACCATCGGCGTTTTATCATTTTCATGGAATTCTGCCAAACGGCTCGCTGGCGCCGCGTGCCGAAATCATTCGCGCGCCCTTGCGCGCGCGTTGGTGGGGGGGGGCGCGATCCGTGTCAAATTATACCATGCGGGCCACTCTCGCGCGTCGGCCGCGCGCGCATGTCTAACTCTTTCCAAAACTTCATTGCCGACGCAAGGGCGCCGTCATCGTCGTCGGTGTGATCAGCATCGGCGCCCGCACTGGCCGTGCCGTCGTCGTTGTCAACATCGCCACCGGCATCGCTTCTACCATCATCGCGTCTACCGTTGTCGACGTTGCAGTGGTACCGCGCCCGCCCAAGTCGCCGACTCGCACTGAAGTGCCCGCTGGGATGTGCCCAGCGGTCAGTGCCACCGCGGCCGCCTCGGTCGCGCCAGACTAGCTGGCCGCTGCGCGCGTGCTTGGGTTGGCGCGGCTGCACAGATGCACAAGTTAACGCCAAGCACTCATCGTAATCACCACCGCATGGATTTTGCAAACCAAGTTGCGTGTGGGTGGGTGGGATGTTTGCAAGAACGTGGAATGTGTCAACTCGTTTGCAACAATGAATTCTTCTTTGATTCTATCCCCCGAGAATATCGCTGCCCCTTTTCGTAGTGCAATTTACATTTGATTCTGTCCCATCGTCCAACCGAAATACGAATTCGTACCATCACAGCCAGGCCAGTATCGACCCCACCGCCATCCTCTGCAGCAAATACTATTCACGCGCATTCGTTTATCAAACATCACAAGTATTCAAACATCCCGTGCAACATACATGAGACGAAGAGCACGCGCGCACGCGCGCGCGTCGTCGCGCGCGTATGCCGAAATCTTTCACACATATCTGTTTCGCACGGGTTTCATAATCGAATGTCCCGGAAACATATAAGAACACATGGCTTTGCAAAACAGAGTTTGAAAACAAACTTGCGCGCGCTTTGGCGAATTCCTTTTAACAAACCATAAAATTCAACTGTTTCGCACGATGCTGCCGAAGGGGCTTCGCGCGCGCAGGTCAAAATCGTTCGAACGCCCTTGCGCGCGTGCCGTAGCGATAATCCTTTGTAAAGAACGGGACGAAGTGCACGCGCGCGCGGCGCGTCGTCGCGCGCGCATGCCTAAATCTGTCAAGCACCATCGCTGTCGCAAGGATTTCACAACCGAGTGTCGCGAAACCGAAGAAGAACATAAGGCTTCGCAGCAACAGTTTTCACAAAAACTTGCGCCCGCGCTCTTGCGAATTTCTCTACAAACTATAGTTTTCAGCATTTTCATGGAATTCTGCCAAACGGACCTCTCGCGCCACATGCCGAAATCATTCGCGCGCGCTTGCGCGCGTGCTGGTGGGGCACGATCCGTGTCAAATTGTATCATGCGGGCTGCTCTCGCGCGTCTGCCGCGCGCGCATGTCGAACTCCATCCAACACCTTCATCACTGACGCGAAGACGCCGTCATCGTCGTCGGCGTGATCAGGATCGGCGCCGTCGCTGGCCGTGCCGTCGTCGTTGTCAACATCGCCACCTACATCGCATCTATCATAATCGTTTTTACTGTTGTCGGCGTTGCCATGATACCGCGCCCGCCCAAGTCGCCGACTCACACTGAAGTGCCCGCTGGGGTGTGCCCAGCGGTCAGCGCCACCGCGGCCGCGTCGGTCGCGCCAAGCTAGTTGGCCGCCGTGCGCAAGTGCATGCGCGGGTTGGCACGGCCGCAGAGATGCACCAGCCAACGCCAAGCACTCATGGCAATCGCCGCCGTTCATGTTTTGCAAGACGGGTTGCGGGTGGGTGGGTGGGATGATTGCGCGAGCAGTGGAGTTGACACTTGCGAAGTCCCCAGGTGAATTACACCAAACAGATTGCACCACGTTGCGCCACGTAGATTGCTTAACGTCTGTTCTCCTTTCTTACGGGCATGCAGATTCTTCCGCGGCCGCTGTGGTTCAAGCGCCTGGGCGGCCACATAGCGGCGTCCTGCCGCGAGTTTCCCGCAGGTTGGCGGCACGAGGTGCCCTCGTTCCGCCGCGGGGCCATGGCCGATTCCAGGAGGTCGTCGCTGGCGTCCGATGCGTTTGAGCAAGTGCGCCAGAGGTCTTCGCAAACGCCGTCCCAGCGGGACATCGAGGCTGAGCGGCTCTGGTGGTCGGAGGCGGTGTTGGGGGCGATCCAGAAGATGCTGGCGGAGCAGACGGGGCAGCTGCAGGCCAGCGTGGCGGAGGAGGCTCAGAAGCAACACGCGATGACGGCGCAGGTGCAGAGGCTGCTGGCGGAACACATGCGGCAGCTGAGGGGCTGCGTCGAGGAGGAGGTCCAGAAGCACACGCGGGAGCTGCAGGCCCCCCTCGCGGCGCTGGCCTCTGTGGGGCGCGCCGCGCCCACCCCGGGGGGGCAGCAGGACCACGAAGCCGCGCCGCGAGGCCGCCTGGAGGAGCTGCTGGAGCGCGAGGCGGAAGAGCGGCGCGCGGGGGAGACAGGCCTGCGCGAGATGGTCCAGCAGCAGGGGGGGGCCCTGGCCCGGATCGAGGCGCTCTTCGAGCCGCCCAGCGATGCCAGCGCGCCAGGGACTCCGCCGCCAGAGTTGGAGACCGCCATGGATGGCGACTCAGTCGAGACCAGAGACCCGTTCGGAATGGCGACTTTGTCTGCTTCGCTCACTTGCCGTTTCCATGAAGACCGTTCTTGTCGCGCCATCTGCGAGGGCGTGTGCAAGAGTCGCAGCTTCGTTGTGTGCACCGCGTGCGTGATTGTAGCAAATTGCGTGTACCTAGGGTTTGAGGCGAACGCGATCATGACCTCTCCCAGCCTCGAGTTGCCAGAACATATCTCATGGCGACTCGCCAACTTGTTCTTTGCCTTGGCGTTTCTGGCTGAACTTTCGGTTCGCTTCATCGCCAGCGGTGCCAACTTCCTGGTAGCCCGTCGTCGGTCTGTTCTCTGGAATTGGTTGGACACGTTGCTTATCCTGTCCGCTGTTGCCGAGGAGATGCTCAGATATCTCTCTGTAGACGTGATAACCTTTGGTTTCCTGCGTCTGACTCGCCTTCTCAGGGTGACTCGGATGATGCGCGCGTTCAGGGTAGTCCGCGAATTTAAGGAGTTGAAGATAATGGTTACCGGGCTTGTAAATTGCGCGAGGCCCCTTTTCTGGGCTGGGGTGCTGCTGTTGGGTTTGACTTACATGATGGGGATTCTCATAGCTCAGCTCATCACTGAGTACTTGCGTTCAATCCAAGATAAGGAACTCGATGAAGAGAACCTGAAGGCGATTAATTACATCGCACAGCACTTCTCGAACTTATGGGAGAGCATGTACTCGCTATTCGAGGCCCTCACAGGTGGGCGGGACTGGGGTGATATTGCAGGTCCATTCAGGCAGATACACTGGATATTGGTGTGCTGTCTTGTTCTGTATATTGTCGTCGGGGTTTTCTGCATTCTCAATCTGTTGACCGCTGTCTTCTTTGAGGCAGCAAATCGGGTAGACGACGTGCAGGAGCTCGTCTACAAAAAGAGGGATTGGGTGGCCGAGACCAGCGAATTCTTCCTGAATGCTATAAAGAACATCCCCCACACGCCGCACACGTCTGCCTCTCTGGACTCACCGGATGGAAGCCCCAGGATCACGGAGGATGCTTTCATCAAGTTGCTGAGCAGTCAGAAGAACGTGAAGTTCTTGGAGGAATACGGGGTGGACCTTTTTTTTAGAGGCCGCAATGGCTTGAGGGAATTATTCCACATCATGGACGAGGATGGCAGCGGCACCCTCGACGTGAACGAATTTGTAGCTTGCCTCTACAATCTCAAGGGCACTGCCACCTCTCTGGACCTGAAGCTGGAGAATCAGAAGCTGTCGCGACTGGTCCGCTCGCTGCACGAGCAGCTGCAGGTCACGCAGATCGTGCAGCCGCTGCGATGGACCCCTGGCAGCCCTTCCCCATCGCTGTCAACGCGTGCAAGCTTGAGGGCACGCACCAGCAAGAACTCCAAACAGGCAGATACGCCTCGCCAGGGTGGCTAAAATTCGACCCGCGTGCCTCTGCATGCCGTGGCCCCGGCCCCCGGCCGCTGCTCTTCGGAGCCTGCCCTACGTCGGGCCCGTCCCTCTACGGGAGGCATGCTCGCAAGTAGTCAAACAATAGTCTGGGGACGATGTTTTGAGCATTTTTGGGTATTTCTTTGAATATTCGTGGAATCTCTTCTGCGTGTCGTCCACAACCCGCCTGTAAGAGGACACGCCCGACCGAAAGCCTGCCCCGTTGGCGCTCCTACTGGGAGGGCCGCGGCGGACTGGCCTGCCCGTGCCTCGGTGCCCGCGCCTCCTGCTCCTCCTCCTCCGTGCCCCTCTCCCTGCCGAGGCGCGCCCGGAGCTCGGCAACTTGGCATCGCGCGGACGTGTGCATTTTTTCCTCGGCGAGGGTTAGGTCGGGCGTGTCCTCCTAAAGGCGGATTATGGACGAAAAAGAACAGATAGTCGAACAATAGCCGACACATACCCCAAAATACTTGAAACAATCGTCCCCAGACTTTTGTTTTATATGAAAAAGGATATTTTTGAATGCTCCTCCTGTGGAGGGACGGGCCCGATTTAAGGCGAGGCCCAGAGCATCCCGGACCGTTTCCGAGCAAGCAGCGCGCGGCGCGAGACCGCAGCCGGGCACGGGGAGATCGGACGTCCGAGCGGTGGCCAGGCGAGAGGAGCAGGAGGCTGCAGACCCGACCTGTCGGGCTGCTGCCCTGCGTGGGGGGGGGGCTCTCCGCTTCGTGCACTCGAGCTCTGCCTTCGCCTTCGGCCGTGATGCACTTCGGCGCTCCTGCGGGCCAGCTCGCCCTGAGCGGGTTTGGACAGAGCAGGGCCGCTCTCTACCGTTCTCAAAATTCTGGACGCTTCGCGGTTCCCCACCAGCCCATCCAGAAGAAGATCGCTGGCGATCTGGTATCAATGCCCCGGCACTGCTTCGACAGCCAGGTAACATACGGATGATGATGAGAGGGGAGGGGGCAGGAGCGGGGGGTACGGGGGGCGACGCGCACTATCTGCTATCGCGTGTGGGATGCAACTGAGGCGCTGCGCTTTCCTTCAGGAACGCTGCGCTCCTCCTCCTAGGCTTCCTGCCAACGTTTCCTCCTCGATGCGCGGCCTTGGGTGCGTGCGTGCGCCCGGGAGGGGGGACAGGATGCAGCGGGGGGGAACCATGCTGCGCTGCCCGGCCGAGGTTCGGCCGTTTCGCTGCGCGCCGGCCGTGATGCCGCGCCGCGCAGGGCGAGGGCCAGGCCGCTCTGCACCCCGGCTTGCCTGCCTTTCGTCATTCTCCTCCTCCTCCTCCTCCCATCGTGGCGCTTCTCCTTCATTCACCGAGCGCGTTCCACTACTCGAAAAGCGCCTACTCGCAAACGTCCGACTAACACATGTCCGCTTTGATGTAATGTATCGCAGATCCTCCGCGTGGGATCCAGGCCATTTGCGAGCAGTTCCTTTGCGAGCAGTGGAACGCGCTCGCCTATTCATCCATCTTGCCTCACGCCTGCACCGAATTGCCGATGTTTTCCCTGATTCAATCCCGAATTCGTCGGCGCATCACGGCGCCACCGCTTCGCTCCTCGTGGGGCCGAGGCCCTGGCGCGTACGTGGAGCGTCCGTCCGTCCGTCCTCCTCCTCTTCTCCTTCCTTTCTCGGCCGTCCAGCACCCTCGGTGCGGTACGGATTCCCCAAATCGAGGTTCACGGGAGCATGTGAAAGCCAAGGGGTTTGCAACAGTAGGTTAAACACAATATCATCCATCGTGGGCCCCAAGCAGTGCGTTTCGAGCAGAGCATGTTGCACAATCTAGGTGGAGCAGATCTATTTGGTGCAGTCTACGTGGTGCAATATAGATGGTGTAGCTTTTCTGGAGCAATGTGTGTGTGTGTGTGTGTGTGCTGCCGTCTATGTGGTGCAATTTATGTGGTGCATCATCGGTTGTGCAAGTTAGGTGGTGCAAACTATGTGGTGCAATCTAGGTGGTGCGCAATCTATGTGCAATCGACGTGGTTCGATATCTGTATGTGGTTCAGTGTACGTTGTGGAATATGTGTGGTGCAATCCATGCGGTGCAATCGATGCTGTGCAGTCTATGCGGTGCAATTCACTTTGACCGTCTTGAAGCTGTCCTCTCCACTGCTCGTGCAAACATCCCATCCTCCCACCCGCAACTTGGTCGCAAGACCTCTTAAGACAAGACCGTAACGGTAGGTACCACATGGCACTTGGCCACGACACCGACGCCGACGACGACAGCGACAACGACGACGACGGCGCCGCCGCCGACACCGACTACGACGACGACGCCGCCGACGACGACGATGACAACGCCGACGACGACGACGCCGACGACGACGACGCCGACGCTGACGACGACGAAGACAACGACGACGACGACAACGACGCCGCCAACGAAGACGACGACGACGACGAGGGAGGAGGGAGGACGACGACGGCGACAACGACGACAACGACGAGGGAGGAGGGAGGACGGCGACGACGCGAACGACGAAGAAGGAGGGAGGACGGCGACGCCGACGACGACAACGACGAGGGAGGAGGGAAGACGACGACGATGACGACGACGGCGACGAAATAGGAGGGTCGACGACGAGACGCCGATGACGGACGACGACGTCGAGGGAAGAGGAAAGGACGACCACGGCGACAACGACGACGGAAACGACCACGACGCCAAAGAGGACGACGACGACGAACACGAGGAAAGACAGAGGACGACGTAGGCGACGACGACGACGACGCGGGAGGAGGGAGGACGGCGACGACGACGACGAAAACGACCACGCAAGAGCGCGCGCGCACGCTTTTGTTGAAAACCCGTGTTGCGAAACCTTGGGTTTTTGTAGGTTTTTTGGACACACGATTTTGACATCATTCCGAAACCGATGGGTTTTGCAGGATTTCGGCATACGCGCGCGACGACGCGCGCGTCTGCACTTCGTCTCATTTTTTGCAGAGGACGCTCGCGACGGCACACGCTCAAGGGCGTTGACAGATTTCGACATGCGCGCGCGCGAAGCCCGTTTGGTAGCTTTTTGTAAAACTCTTGAAAGGCACATGGTTTTCTCACGATTTCGCAAGAGCTCGCGCGTAAGCTTCTTTAGCAACTCAGTGTTGCGAAACCTTTTGTTTTTGTATGTTTCTTTTGGAAGCTCGATTGCGAAATCCTTCCGACACCGAAGGTTTTTGAAGGATTTCGGCATGCGCGCGCGACGACGCGCCCGTGTGCACTTCGTTTCGTTTTTTGCAAGGGATTCGTGAACAAGTCTTATGTTAGAACAAAACATGTCCCCGCGCATTGTTTGTTACAAGGGAACTCAAGGGGGAGCGATACCGGTTCCCCTGGGACAGTATAAGTTCATGTTTAGGATTCACATGTGGTCAGGATCATATATGATTTACATTCCCGAAAGGGGGGCGGATAACGCCGGGGGGGGGTAGAGTTTTTTGTTTTATTATTCAAATAATACTACCATTAAAACATATTAAAAAGAAAAAAGAATCCAATGCTCAACTCGAAATTGCCAGCTCTACTGCTCGCGCAATCATCCCACACACCCACCCGCAAATTGGTTTGCAAAACCCTTGCGATGGCGATTGCGATGAGTGTTTGGTAATGCTGGTGCATTTCTGCGGCCGCGCCAGCTCGCGCATGCACGCGCGCGCAGCGTCCAGCTAGTTTGACGCGACCGACGCGGCCGCGGTGGCGCTGACCGCGGGTACGTTCCAGCGGGCGTTTCAGGGCGAATCGGCGACTTGGGAGGGCGCGGTATTCATGGCAGCGTCGGCAGCGGTAGACACGATGATGATAGTAGCGATGCTGTTGGCGACGTTGACAACGACGACGGCACGGCCAATGGCGGCGCCGATGCTGATCACGCCGACAACGATGAGAGCGTCCTCGCGTCGGCGATGAAGGTTTTGGGAGGAGTTCGACATGCGCGCGCGGCCGACGCGCCAGAGTGGCCTGCATGGTATTATTTGACACGGGTCGTGCCCCCTCCAACACGCGCGCAAAGGGCGTTCGAATGATTTCGGCATGCGGCGCGAGAGGTCCGTTTGGCAGAATTCGATGAAACAGTTGAAAACAACGAAACTTCTCCCAACTATTCGCACAGAGCACGAACGCAGGCCTTTTTGACAGCTGTCGATGCAACATTGTATGTTTTTAGATGGTTCTGGGACACTCGGTTTTGTCATCCTTGCGGAACCTGGGATTTTTGAGAGATTTCGGCATGCTCGCGCGATGACGCGCGCGTGTGTATTTCGTTTCGTTTTTTTCGTAGGATTCTTGCGACAGCGCGCGCGCGAGGGGTTTCGGGCGATTTCGACATGCGCGTGCGCGAAGCCCGATTGGTATCATTTGATGAGCATGTGGAACAACTGCGGATTTTCTTAAGGATTCGTCAGCGCGCGAGCGCAAGTTTTTCTTTTTGATTGAATCCTTACTGCGAAACCATCGGGATTCCGCGAATTCTGATGAAAACGATAGGTTTTCCAAAATTCTCATAACAGGCTACCTAACGGGCCTCTCGCGCGCACATGTCGGAATCGCTCGAACGCCCTTGCGCGCGTCCTGTCGCAAAAACCCCTGGCAAGACATGGGACGAGGTGCGCGCGCGCGTGCCAAAATTTTTCAAACACCTCCGTATTCGTAAGGATGTCAAAACCGAGTGCCCCGAAAACATAGAACATATAGTTTTGCAATATTCGTTTTCAAAAATGCCCGCGCTCGCGCTCCTGCGACGTCTTCACACACATCTGTACACACATATGTGTGTAATCTGTACACACATATGTGTATGTATGTATATATATATATATATATATATATATATATATCTTCTTATATGTTTTCAAGCCCGGGCGGGGGGAAAACCCATCACCCCCCCCAAAAACCGGACACCCGGGATCTGGGGCTTTGGGATCCTCCGGACGGGCCTCGAAGCGGCCCCCTGGGCCTCGCAGGGCGTTTTGCCAAGCCTTCCCAGCACACCTAGGGCGATCAGGGGGGTCATCGGATGCGTCCCAGAGACCCCCAAGACAGCACAGGAGCGCTCCGAGTGACCGACGTAACCTCAAGATGGCCCAAAAGGCCTCCAGGACGGCCCCAAAGAGGCCTCCAAGAGCACTCCCAAGAAGGCCCCAGGAGGCACAACTTTTTGATTTTCTGTTGGTTTTTGCTGAATTTTGGGTTCTCCTCTTTTCGGCTTCCCGACGCTCCAAGACGGCGGTCTTCTGGGCGTCCGAAGCCGCCTGGGAGGCTCCAACATCGCCCCACAACCATCCGAAAGGGCTTCCAGGCAGTCCAAGAGAGCCTCAAAACGGCACAACACGGGTCCAAGATGGCCCTCAAAGAGCCCGATGGCGGCCCAAGATGGCCCCAAGACACCCTCCGAAGCATTCCAAATCGTGACCCGGTCGTTCAGGTAGACCGCGGTTGGAGGCAGGGTGGCCCGAGGAAGTCCCCAGAGGCCCCCAGAATAAGCCCAGGAGGCCTCCAGAAGGCCTTAAGAAAGCCTGAAACAATTTTTTTGAGGCCCCCAGAGGCTCTGCAAGGAGGAGCCTCCGCAAAAAAAGAGCTGAGGAGGATGGGGAGAATGCGCAGGGTACGGCGAACATAAGGAAAAAAAAGCATGCAGGAAGGATAACGAATAACAGTATTATAGCGACGATGCCGGAAAAGGCAACAAGGAGTTATCTCTAAATTGTCTTCTTGACCTTCCTGCGATTCCGCCTGCATACCAAACTTCAAGGACCAAGGTGCATGGCGCGAAGCGCCACTGCAGTCTTGTATATATATATAACATATGGGTACAGGGCCGGGGGCCTTCTCCAGCTGCCTCTGGTCGCCATGGTGGTTCCGGGCTCCTTTGGAACCCTCTCCAGCGACTTCAGAGCCGCCCAGACGGCCTTTAGTCGTGCCACAGAGACACCAAAGGCTTCCTAATGTCCCGCGGGGCTTCCGTGCAATCCTAGACAGCTTCAAGACGGCCCAGGAGGATTCGACTTTCGCTCCCCACAGGGCCCCAAGAGGCCAAAACCATTGAGTTACCATAGTTTTTTCGATGCTTCTGGAATTCTCCATTTTCGAGCTTCCGACGCTCCCCGACGGCCCAGGAGGCTTCCAAGACCGCCCCAAGACGGCGCCAGAGACCTCCAAGACCGCCCCAAGACGGGCCAAAAGGGACCCCAAACGGCCCCGAGAGGCCCAAGACGGCCCAAGAAGAGCCGCCCAGACGCCTTTAGTGGCGTCACAGTGACACCAGAAGGCTGCGAGATGCCCCGCGGGCTTCCGGGCAGCCCCAGATAGCTTCAAGGCGGCCCAACAGGACTCCATTTTCGCCCCCCAGAGGGCCCCAAGAGGCAAAACCATTGATTTACCATGGTTTTCAATGCTTCTGGGATTCTCGACTTTCGAGCTTCCCACGCTCCACGACGTCCCAAGAGGCCTCCAAGACCGCCCCAAGACAGCCCAAGGGACCCCCAAACCCGCCCCAAAACGGGCCCAAAGGGTCCCAAGACGGCTCCCAAAGGGGCCCATGACGGCCCAAGAAGAGCCGCCCAGACGGCCGTAAGTGGCGCCACAGTGACACAGGAAGGCTGCGGGATGTCCCGCGGGGCACCCAGGCCACCCCAGGCAGTTTCAAGACGGCCCAAGAGGACTCCACTTTCGCTCCCCAGAGGGCCCCCACATGCAAAAACCATTGATTTACCATTCTTTTGTGTTCCAGATGTCTTGGGGGTTCTAGACTCTCGAGCTTCTGGCGCTCCACGACGTCCCCAGAGGCTTCCAAGACCGCCCCAAG